CGAGCTGAGGTATCAGTTTGTAATAAAGATAATGTCGCAACTTTCACAATCTTTGACCATGATGCAGCAAAACTAACTGATATAAGAATCAAAGTTCAAGGCAATGTTTGTTAGACCCTATAACTTCAATGATGCTCTCCAAACTATCACAGTTACCCGCATTTAAGAAATCAATGTTGGTGATGAAACTCTCAAAGAAGACGTCAAAGATGGTGGCAAAGCTCTCCAAGAAGAATTCAATGGTGGAGCCCATGACATTGATCGAAGAAATATAGCAAAAACATCTAGATCAACTACAGTGTATGAAGACAGTTACACAAAAGACGGTGAAGACGGTGACATGGCTGACATCAACCACAGAGAAAAACGTATCTGTCACGAGTGACATCAACAATTTTTATACTATCGTCGCTTGGAAATTTAGATTTATGAATATTTTGTTTGCCACAACAAGATCTAAATATTATATGTTATGGTAAACATTATATATAATTCTCCATACACGCAGAAAATTAACGATACAAATTAGTTTTTATGGTAAATTAATTATTTAATTTTCTACGATTGCTTCATTTTTTTACCATTTTAGTTTTGCATCCGTACATGACAGCTTCTCCGTTTCAGCTTCACCAGCAATACGTCAAACCTATAATCGTTTATTCTTCTTCTTCGATTTAACTCATAAAAGACTCGCATGTCTCCTTTAAAATTTATAAAACATACAAAAAATTCAAAACTCTCCAGCTGCTTTGTCTTCCAATTCAGGAAGCTACTTTCTGGGAATCTCACCAATTATCGCAAACCTTTGGTTAGGTGAAAATAGGGATTCGGTGATTGGGGTCATATGAGATTGCGATGCAATCGTCTTCAAAGCAGCCATGGTTCGTGTGCCATGGTGGAAGCGTGGAAACCAGAAACCAAAAAACGGTCAGCCATGGGGTTAATTGACAGAGGCTTAGTGTTTTTTTTTTTTCTCTCTAGAGAACTATCATTCACGTCTCACACAGTCCTTTACCTTTTTGTTTCGACACCAGCATTATATTCCACGTCCCCCATTTGTTTCGTTGATTTATGATTGCAAAATGTCTCTGTTTAGTTTCTTATGGTTACTTACTCTTCCCTCGTATGTAGTTTCAGTGTTGTCGCAAGTACCAAGTTTAGAGGTTCAATTCTTCTTTTATGCAAAATTGTATCTTCTTTTACTTCTATTCTATCTCGACCATGGTTCAATTAAATATGAAGAATAAACTTGTGAAAGTTGATACATGTAGTTCAAAAATATTGTTAGATGGTTGTGGCTGCAGGAAGCGGTAGCCGAAGAGGATGAGCAGGCGAAGAAGATTAAAGGAGATTAAAGATGAAGAATGAAACAGTGAACTACTTCCCACAAAAGTATATCTCCTTTTGCAATTATAATTGGCATTTTTGGACTTCATCTGCCAATGATTTATTTTGTGTGATTCGCTTCTTATGCTCTGAATGCGATATTGAGCATGTTAAGTTTCTAAGAAAAGGTTAGTTACTCTTCCCTCTATGCATCTTGCATAATTTGTGTTTAAATTTTTTGGTGTAAAATCATGCCCGGTGTCCTCCAGATGCTTCTGCAAGCTCTTTCTAAAATTCTTCGTTTCAGGGTTTATTGGAAAATTCCATGTGGTCCATAGAAATATGGTTTTGATTTTAGTGGAGTGCTAAATTCTAACATTGTTTCATTCTTCAGTGTTGGTCTTACATTCAAGACCTATACGTTATTTAAGGTCAGACCTTATTTGTAAAAAATCAACT